TAGTCTACAATGCCTCCAACAATGAGCTTGTGAGAACCAAGACCCTGGTGAAGAACTGCATTGTTCTGGTGGACAGCACACCGTTCAGGCAGTGGTATGAAGCCCACTACGCCATTCCACTGGGCCGCAAGAAAGGGGCAAAGCTGGTAGGCTTTCATTTCACAGCTCACACTATAAATAGATGAGCATGTGTTTTATTAGAGATGAAATTCAGGCGTCTCAGCCAGAGTGTTCATGCACCCTTACATGCATATTGCACACAAAATGACAAGAGCTTTTCCAAAACCACGAGCTCCAATGTGTCATCTTTACATGGTTGCTACAATGCAAATTTTCAGAGGAGCTTGTAATTGCATTGGTGATTTATGAAACATTGGCAATTCAAGTGAGTAGAGCAAAGTTGAACTTCATGCAATCAAAATACTGCAGACACCTAATAGTATCATAACACCTGCAGCGATTTGATAAATGGCAATATAAATGCACCTTTAGACTTCAGACTTTAGACCTCAACTTTAGAAGTATGGGTTAGTATGGCATCTTAAGCAAGAATAAACCAATATTGTTTTCTAATTAAGCTCTAATGTTCAATTCAGATATACAATTAAAGACTGGGACCTTGTTCAGACAATCCATTCCACATAAAACACCAGAATCTAAACCTTCTTGAAGCTTTTAAGTGCATTATTTTGAGCAGTTGCCTTTGTAAATTTACATATGTATCTTCATCCCTCAGACTCCAGAAGAGGAGGAGATCTTGAACAAGAAATGGTCGAAGAAGGTTCAGAAGAAGATTGATGGACGCAGGAAGAGCAGCAAGATTAGCAGTTTGCTGGAGGAGCAGTTCCTGCAGGGCAAACTTCTTGGTGAGTCTTCCACACTCTGAGCCATTCACAACCATCTCAATTTTCTTAAACTGATCATTGAGAAGAGGATGTTTTTTCAACAGCATTAGCTAGAGGTGACACATTTCCATTATTCCATTCAATCCGTGGTCCAAAGCAAATAAACATTACAGTATGTGTCCTAATCCTTGCTGACTGATTTAGTAATATCACAGGATGTTCTCATTTTTATTATCATTTGAGGAACAAGAAACAAGCCAAACTGTGTTCTCACTGACTCATTTTCATTTTTTTTCCACGTTGTTCAAAACCAGTCAGACTGGTCTCAGTCAAAGACAAACCTTTGTTTAATTAGTCAAAGAGTCCCAGTGCTTCTAAGTTTGCTTTTTACTGTTCTACCGTCTCAGCTTGTATTGCGTCCAGGCCTGGCCAGTGTGGCAGAGCAGACGGATACATCTTGGAAGGGAAAGAGCTGGAGTTCTACCTCCGGAAGATCAGAGCCAAGAAAGGCAAATAGACTTAAGCAATATAACCAGAGCTCTACAGTGGCTGTATGAATGTAAAAAGTAAAATTGAATGATTTCTAACAGCGAGCTACTTTCTAATTGGCAACAACAAACAAACAACTAACAAAATTTGCAGCTTTTTTTTTTTTTTGCTTTTCCCCTGTAATATTGCAATTTGCACAATTTAAATAGGCTGTTTTAGGCTTTTCCTTATTTTTATATTTTAGACATCCATCAGTTATGGTGATGAAAAAAATTAATCGCCATCTCCTCATTGGATGTGCCTTTAGAGAGAAATGCATCTTTACGGATTACATAATGAAAGAGTTTCTATTTTCGATTTGAATTATTTCGTTTTATTATAGCTTTCTATATATTTTTATCATGCCTGTGAGGCAATTCGCTGAGTTTAGGTTCATCATTGTGAAGCACTCCTGCTCAAGACCGAGACGGCAGAAAGTGTTGTTTTCTTTATTTTATAAAAGCACAATGTTTTGTTGATATTGTGAGTGCACACAAATAAAATACAGTTTAGAATGATGTATTACTCTTACCTTTATTAGCAAAAATGACTGCGTATTTTAAGTTGTTTCCACTGTTCCACTGATCGCGCTGGCGCCTATATGTCCTGCAGAGCGCGCTTTAGCTTCCATTCTCCACACAAATGCAGCGCACATTTATATAGGTTAAACATTTAAACTAACATTGTGATATGCTTGAACTGTTTTATATCTATAGATTTTATTTTAGGCAAGTCGTGATGATTTGAGAAGGCTAAATTGATCAAACATATAGGCTATGATCAATTCACTGTCTGCCGCTGGCCGCTTGGTCATTACTTTAAAAAAAAAAAAACTTACATTTAAGGAACAAAAAATGCTCCAAACGTTTTTCTAAATTAACTTTATAAAGAACGAAATGAAATATAATCACTTTTCCATTACATACAAAACTAAATTATTTTAAAGGGGTCATATGATGCTTTTTTAAAGATCATTATTTTGTGTATTTGGTGTAACAGAATATGTTGACATGCTTTAATGTTCAAAAAACACATTATTTTTCAAATACTGTACATTATTGTAGGTCCTCTATGCCCCGCCTCTCTCAAACGCTTCGTTTTCTACAAAGTCCCTCCTTCCGACAAGCGCAGTCTGCTCTGATTGGCCAGCTGACCCAGTGCATTGTGATTGGCCGAACACCGCAAGCACTCGTCGGAAATGTAACGCCCCTTACCATAATCGCGAGCTTCATCTTTCAAAATAAATGTAAAGACAGAGCCCGAAAGGGGAACAGAGTCGCGTGACAGACACAGTAATGATGCAGTACACAAGCCGCGGTTAAGACAGCTGACTCTACTGTGAGTGACCCTGTCTCTCTCTCTCTGTCACACACACGCGCACGCACGCATGCACGCACACACACATACACACACACACACACATGATGCGCAAAACTCTGCATTTGAACAGTCAATAGCAAATACTTAAACTAATAACTAAACAGTAGCTGATTCAGAAGCGCCTGATTGTCATAGCAAAGTCAGAATTACCTCCTCTCCTAGGTTCACGAAACGGTCGTCCATAAAATGCATTGCTGTTCTGTTGTAAGTGATCTTAAAGATTCCTAAATGCATCTACTTTCGGAAGGCCACATAAAGTGCTTTTGCTTTCGCCTAGAAACACACAGCGTCTCCTTGACATGGCTGCTTCAACACTAACTGCGGTTAGTGAAACCACGCTTTCTTTCTTTGCGTGAACATTTGGGCGGCGTTATGCAAATCTTCCCACATCGTGACGTAGACATGTGGGGTGTGTTAGAACGAGCCGTTTTAGGGGGGCGAGTCTTAACTTTGATAAAGAATATCTCTTTGGTTTTGAGACTTTAGTCTTTGCAACTTCAGGGATCTTATCTATGCACAATCAGCTTGTAACACTCCAAAGAGAAAGGAAAACTTGAAATCGCATCATATGACCCCTTTAATAGCTGAAACAGTAGGATAAGCTTTTTTGGGAGAAGGGGAAAAAAAGACTGGCTAGGGCCTATATTTGATGCCCGTGCAGGGCTCTAATCACTTCATCCATCGCGGTTTTGTTCTCTGTTGTTTTCATCTGTGAGCATGCTCTTGATATATATATTTTAGGTTAGGTTAGGTTAGGTACACTTTATTGTCCCTGAGGGAAATTTGTCTTAGGCTCAGAAATACAACCACCACATCACATACAACACATAGTAGTAAAGAATAAAAAAATAAAAAAAATAACCTTACCTAGTGTTATTTAATAACTTTGTTTTCAACGTTTTAGTTCTAACAAAATTTTAGCATTTTGTTGAGTTTAAAACGTGTGACGCATTCGTTCTGCTCTCACTGATCATTTGGTAACCCCCCAAAAAACCTCTGTGCGGTGTGCGTACCCTCGGAAGAAATCCTGCAGGCGCCCCTGGCTATTATTAATGGCTATTATATATTTTTTTTTTTCTTTGTTCTATTTATTCCTGTCACTGTCACTTCAGCTCATGTTTTGAGAGTCCAAATTAAAAAAAATAAATTATGTACTTAAACAATGACAATAAAGTGATTTAATCTTGAATATGAATCAGATTCCATGTAAAAAAAAAAATATTTGTGAAATTATGAATAATTATTCTCATGCCTGATTGTATAAAACTAAAACTTGTATATGACTCATCTCAGTTTTTTAGAGTGATGTTTTCTATGGGCTCATTTGTGATATTTAGTAATTATTTGAAACCTGAAAGGATTGTTCACCCAAAAATGTGAATTTTGATTAATGGGTTTCGATTGACACAAGAGTGAGTAAATGAAAATTATTCCTTTAAGGATTGTTATGACAGATTTTCTGAGACGAATGATCCTCATCCTCTCCAAAAGGGGGCAGACTCCACCTAAGAATAGTCTGCAATAGTTTATTAAATTACAAAAGTTTTTCCTGCTCAGTTCATTTATATGGCTGGGACTAGTTCCAATAAACTTTTAAAAGTAAAGGGAACATATGCAAATCATTTGCAAAATATCTTGCAATTTGATTCTCCAGTATATTTCATAGTGTTTAAACTGAATTTAATGATATTTGAGTCTGAGTAACACCATATTTATTTAGTTAAACAGTCAACATAATTACCACAGCTCTAAAATATACAATGATGAGCATTAGACCGCAATATTCAAGAGTCATTTATTTTCAGAGATTCAGAGATTGACAATTATTAATATTAAACTGTACATTTTATACATACGTTGAAGTGTGGTAGATATTAAAGCCATCAACCATTACAAAATAAAGAACTCTGTTTATCTGGGATGATGACAACCAAATGACAAAGCAATACAAACATTTGCAAACATTCACTGACAAAACACAGCAACACTAAATAATTGTTTCCAACACAACAGCCAACAAATCCGAAAAAGAGCTCTGAGAGGGAAATGTGGAACTCATCACTGATGAGCTGTGGTGGTTCTGAAGTTTCTATCAAACCGTTACAAAGTCACAATAGGATCTGAGCTGACCAGCTGGATTTATTAAGACTAGTGATGCCTTGATGACGACAAGGGAGTATCTCATGAGATTTTGAACATATCTTTCAAAACACTGTGGAAAAAAAGCACAATTTCATAACATCCACAAATAAACACGCCACAACACAAACCCCTCATCATTTAACCTTCGTTGCTGTGGAATAGCAGCTTTTCGCGTAGTCAAGGAAGCAGATATTTCAGTCCAATTGAGGTGATCCAACTATGCATTTCAGGGAACAAAAGACAAATTCTGAGGGAAAAAAAAATCTAAACTCTTGATAGGTTGAAACTGCATAGATAAAAGAAAAGAGAGTTTTGGTCTGAAAGAAGACAATTGTGTTGATGGCCAACAAGGCAAGCTGGTCCTATGTTTCTGTGTACACTGACGACATTTGGCTCAAGCCGCGATCGAAGCCGCCCACCTGAAAGAAAACACTCTCCTCTGTGCCCGGTGAGAACTGGCAACCTGATCCTATGATGTCCGGCACCAAGCTGAAACCTTTGCATTATGAAAAAAAAAAAAGTAAATATGGAAAAATGTGTTAAACTTGTATTAAACTCTCAGAAAAAGTGCAAAAAAATGTCCTGTTAGCCCATAAGTACCTTGAGGTATTAATTATGCTACTAATGTGCACCCATGAAGGGAAGACAAGGTTGTCTCTTTGAGGGTACAGCCCAATTTTTGCAGATTTGAAAAACACTAAGATGAAATACAACAAGAATAATTTGTAGGGCAGTGAAACTGGAGACAAATTGATGGGTAATATGGGAAAGAAAAACGACAAGATGACTACAAGCAAGATCAGTTGAGCTGTTACTAACCATGTTGCCTATTATTGTTGATGTGCTCACATGAAGCTACAGTGCCATAATGTATAATGGCAAATGACTATATCAGGTACTTAATTTTATTGTGATATTACTTAATAAAAGGATTTGTGGAGGTAAAAGTGTAGTCACATTTACTGTTGTTCTGCAAATTTTCACAGCCAAAATGCAGTCATTTCAATCTGCTCAATTTCAAGTCGGGGCAAAAGTAGTGAAGGCTAAACAAAGCATTATTTTATTTTAAATAAATATAAAAATGAATCATGCTCCGATACTTTGCTTTAATGTCAAAAGCGGAGTTTTAAACCATCACTGGGCAAAAGATTTCCCCGTGCCGATTTTGCAAAGGGTTTAAGCTGGTCACACAAATTCGCAGTGTTGACCAATAGAAAGCTGCTTGATAAAAGTGACTTCTTTGTGAGCTGTGCTTTATACAACGCTACTCTTCTGACAATAGACACATTTTTATGCCCAAGTAATTTCACTAATGAGACTGCACTTTAAGGGGGTATTTGTGTACCTGTGGAAGAGGTGCTGGTGGAACAGCTCATGTGGAAGCCGTTGTGTTGGTTTGTGTTGAAGCTGTGGGACTCTGCAGGTTGATGGCCGCCGCTGATGGACTGGTCCATTCTGTAGCCGTCGCCAAAATGGAAACAGCTCTGAAAATTGCCACGGTAATCTGTGTACACATACCCAAACACAAAGTAAAACATCAGAATCAAATGTCATTCAAACTTTTTTTCTATATGTTCAAAACTTAAACTAGCGATGGCAAAAACCACAGAAAGCCTGCATTCCTGTTTGTATTTCTATTTTTGGACTATTCCCGTTTCTCCGGGGTTGCTTCCAGAAGTGTTAAACAAGTAGTCTCTCTCAGATGGGGGTCTTGGATTTGAGGTGGTACAGTACACACACACACATGTACATCTGTGTCCTGACAAGGAAGTTGAGCATTTCTCTTTCCCAGCAGTTCTTTTGACAGACAGTTGAGCTGTTTTGGACTGGGTGGTTTTAGAGCAAAAAGCTTCCTCTTGTGGTTCCAGGCGTCTCTTTCAGCCCACATGGTCTGGCTGATGCACACAGCACTGCAGAGACTACGCCAGCTCTCACACTGATGGGACTCTCTCTGACATCAAACACTGAGATTTGCTGAGATTTTTCAACAGGTATATTCCAATAGATCACAATTAAAGGCAGGCAACTGGAACTGTGAGAGTTTTGATTCTTATTTGTGGTACTTGCTCAGAAAATCATGATTACTAATGTTGCTTTACAATGAAATCAAAATGGACAATTCTTTTTTTTATGGGATACTGCAGTGTTCCTTATAAATTACTGTATCTGTGCACATAATCTTAACCCCATAAAGCCTACTGTGTCATATGTGACATGTGAACACTTACTGGACCGAAGCAACTTCTTCAGTTTTTAGAAAAAGCATGGTAAAATGGGAGTATCAAATATGATACATCAGACTTTTGAAGAATGTTCATTGGTTCATCTCTTAATCATCACTGTATTGCACTGCATCAGATGTATGCCCTACAATAAAAACTACAGGGCTTTGATCATAAAACCCAGCATTTTAATATCATCTTACCAAGACATATTATGACAACTGATATTTATACATATATATATGAATTGGATGCAAATAGTCTGCTATACTGTTAAAGATCTCATTGATTTACAAGCAATCAGAATTTCATCTTACTCTTTACCATATAAATATCCGCAACGAACAAAGTGCATATTTTTGCTCAGTTTGGGCCTCTGAATAAAACTGATGTGTTTTTTTCCTCCTGGAGTATGAGCTCCATATATCCTATATATCACACAATATCAACTATAAAACCTGATGCATCAAATATGATACTCTTCTTTTTTGATTTTGTATGAAAGTTCAATAAAATGTTACATTTTAAAAAATTAAATGAAAAAAACTTTTCTGGCTATTGCATAAGGCTTTACAGGGTTAAAATAGTTAAGGAAAGACAAATCCCAATTTCCTTTTAATGCCGACTTCACCTTTTATTACCTCATCTTATTGCTCAGATTTGTGTTATGTGGCTTCTTGAAGAGATGTGTACTATTACTTTTCTAAGCAATCATACTGAACAATAAAGCAGACAAACAAAAATCCCATAGACTACTGAAAGAGGTATCTGAGGGACTAAAATGATCTTAGCGACTTCACAGTGGGCTCTTTTAATTTGGGCCAGTAAGCAACTACCTAACAAACACTCAGAACAACTTAGCAACACATTAAAAAAAAACATTCTGAATAACTTTGAAAGCAAATAACAACACCCTGGCAACCAACCACAACACCCAAAAATCATTGTGGTGACCACCACAAAGAATGGAAAAATCTAGTTTAATATCCACACTGAAAAAATGTTGGTGTAGGGTTTACTTTGAAACAATTTTCACTTAGAAATTGTTAGTAAATTTCACAGATAATTTCAAAGAAATGGAAAGTAACACACTGAATTAAAATTTGGAAGTAGAAAGACTGAAGTAGTATTTTCTTGTAAAATGTAATCCGGTGTTTTCTTTTTATTTACTTCGAAAAATACTTTTTTTTCACAGTGAGTTTTAAATCAGCCTGAAGGAAGTGCTGGACTTTTGATGTGTGTGAAGACTACCACCCAATAAAACCAGAGCAAACAAACACAGAAGGTCTCGTACCCTCACTTGAAGGCAGGTTGTGGAAGGCGGTGTAGGGTTTCTGGTGAGTGTGGAGGTGTTGCTGGCTGGAGGAGGAGTTCTGTTGCTTCTCTAGTGTTGGTGGAGGAGACGTGGTGGCCTTAAGCAGACTGATCCCTGGAGACAGCAGAGCTCCGGATAACCTGGAAGAGAGAAAGTGAGCGTTAACTATTAAGATTAATGGTGGAAGATAAGCAGGCCAAAACAATGCTATAAAATTTCATATAGAGTATATAATTTATACGAGTCCTGTGAATATTACTTTATAGTAACTTTATAGCCTCACCCCATCCTACCTTTAACCCTGAGAAAGATCTGAGAGGATTACCAGAGAAAAGAGTCACATAGCCTAAAGTGAAACATTATTTATTTATTTCATTCATTTTTTATTTACTCTAACATGCTTTATCCTTTTCCAATTCTCATTATAATGGAAAGTCAAGGGCCTGGTTTTGATTGAGTACAAGCCCGTTCTTCACTCCAGATGCCACTTATACATAACATGCCCCTGACTTACTGTACACAGTGAAGGCTTTGGGGAAGTTATGATAGCTTGCACACAATGGAACAAATAAAGGCTTTGTTAGTGCCATTAGATGCAGCTGTCACAAGCAAGTCTTCAAATATGCAAAACCAAGTTCCAGCGAGACGCGGAGTGCCAACCCAATGGCCCTGTGAAGTCGTTCCTGCCCCCTAAGTCAAGGCTCTCTGCCTTTAGTGCACACATCAAAGAGTCATATTCTGAATTTCAGAAATGAACAGAGAACAAAAACTAACTCAAAGAATCGCCTGTTTAAACAGAAGTATGACAAACAGATGCTAGTCATGGAGAGATATTATGAGGACATAAGCAGTTATAATGTAAGATATGGAGGGACAGAGGAAATGAACAAATTAATGCACATTACTGCTTGTTCATTCTCCCTAACGATATAAGATCAGTATTTAGAAACATGTTTACTTTTCTTACTTAAATATTAAAGACCTCGTAGAATAAATATTAGGATTTTATAGCTTTTCCATGGCACTCTTTGCTAAAACACATTCACTGTATAAGCTAGTCTACTCCCAAATACTGATAAAATTCACTTTTAGAAGATAAACACTACGGTTCAAAGGTTTGCAGTCAGCAAGATGTTTTTTAAACAAAATTAATACTTCTATTCTGTAATTACACAGTAAATTTAGCGAAAATGACAGTAGAGATATATATAAATGCTGTTCTTTTGAATTTATCAAAGAAATCTGAAAAAAAAAATGTATCGTAGTTTCCACAAAAATATTAAGCAACACAACTGTTGTCAATATTGCTAATAATAAGAGATGTTTCTTAAGCACCAAATCAGCATATCAGAATGATTTCTGAAGGATCATGTGACACTGAAGACTGGAGTAATGACTGCTGAATATTCCGTTTTGCCATCACAGGAATAAATTACATTTTAAAATATATTCAAGTAGAAAACATTTATTTTAAACTGCAATAATATTTCACAATATTACTGTTTTTACTGTATTTTTGATCAAATAAAAGCAGCCTTGGTGACCATAAGAGGCTTCTTTCCAAAACATTAAAAATCTTACCGACCCCAAACTTTTGAATGGTATTGTACACATTATTATTTACAATCTTTCTTGTCTGGAAAAATGAAGCAAAAACATTGATGACTCATCCTGCACTGCACCAATTTTTGTCCAATCAAATGCTCTTGAATGAGAATGTCCCTCCACCAATATTGTGTGCAACCCAGCAGCAAGCAGCAAATGTTTGTTCATTGCTTTGATCCTTTGATATGTCCCACACAAACTACAAAAAACATAAATAAATTAGTGTTAATTAGGCCAGTGATATGATCTCATGTGAGTGATTTTAAACATTAAAAAAAAAAAAACACTATTGCTACGAGTAACAGTTTTTTTAAACAAAGGAAACCTTACATGCACATTTAGAGCATGTACATTTAAACAAACACATTATAAATTGCATTTAAATTGCCTTTTGTACTATCATCCACAGAGTTAAGACCTCTAACATGCTTTATCCTTTTCCAATTCTCATTATAATGGAAAGTCAAGGGCCTGGTTTTGATTGAGTACAAGCCCGTTCTTCACTCCAGATGCCACTTATACATAACATGCCCCTGACTTACTGTACACAGTGAAGGCTTTGGGGAAGTTATGATAGCTTGCACACAATGGAACAAATAAAGGCTTTGTTAGTGCCATTAGATGCAGCTGTCACAAGCAAGTCTTCAAATATGCAAAACCAAGTTCCAGCGAGACGCGGAGTGCCAACCCAATGGCCCTGTGAAGTCGTTCCTGCCCCCTAAGTCAAGGCTCTCTGCCTTTAGTGCACACATCAAAGAGTCATATTCTGAATTTCAGAAATGAACAGAGAACAAAAACTAACTCAAAGAATCGCCTGTTTAAACAGAAGTATGACAAACAGATGCTAGTCATGGAGAGATATTATGAGGACATAAGCAGTTATAATGTAAGATATGGAGGGACAGAGGAAATGAACAAATTAATGCACATTACTGCTTGTTCATTCTCCCTAACGATATAAGATCAGTATTTAGAAACATGTTTACTTTTCTTACTTAAATATTAAAGACCTCGTAGAATAAATATTAGGATTTTATAGCTTTTCCATGGCACTCTTTGCTAAAACACATTCACTGTATAAGCTAGTCTACTCCCAAATACTGATAAAATTCACTTTTAGAAGATAAACACTACGGTTCAAAGGTTTGCAGTCAGCAAGATGTTTTTTAAACAAAATTAATACTTCTATTCTGTAATTACACAGTAAATTTAGCGAAAATGACAGTAGAGATATATATAAATGCTGTTCTTTTGAATTTATCAAAGAAATCTGAAAAAAAAAATGTATCGTAGTTTCCACAAAAATATTAAGCAACACAACTGTTGTCAATATTGCTAATAATAAGAGATGTTTCTTAAGCACCAAATCAGCATATCAGAATGATTTCTGAAGGATCATGTGACACTGAAGACTGGAGTAATGACTGCTGAATATTCCGTTTTGCCATCACAGGAATAAATTACATTTTAAAATATATTCAAGTAGAAAACATTTATTTTAAACTGCAATAATATTTCACAATATTACTGTTTTTACTGTATTTTTGATCAAATAAAAGCAGCCTTGGTGACCATAAGAGGCTTCTTTCCAAAACATTAAAAATCTTACCGACCCCAAACTTTTGAATGGTATTGTACACATTATTATTTACAATCTTTCTTGTCTGGAAAAATGAAGCAAAAACATTGATGACTCATCCTGCACTGCACCAATTTTTGTCCAATCAAATGCTCTTGAATGAGAATGTCCCTCCACCAATATTGTGTGCAACCCAGCAGCAAGCAGCAAATGTTTGTTCATTGCTTTGATCCTTTGATATGTCCCACACAAACTACAAAAAACATAAATAAATTAGTGTTAATTAGGCCAGTGATATGATCTCATGTGAGTGATTTTAAACATTAAAAAAAAAAAAACACTATTGCTACGAGTAACAGTTTTTTTAAACAAAGGAAACCTTACATGCACATTTCTAACATGCTTTATCCTTTTCCAATTCTCATTATAATGGAAAGTCAAGGGCCTGGTTTTGATTGAGTACAAGCCCGTTCTTCACTCCAGATGCCACTTATACATAACATGCCCCTGACTTACTGTACACAGTGAAGGCTTTGGGGAAGTTATGATAGCTTGCACACAATGGAACAAATAAAGGCTTTGTTAGTGCCATTAGATGCAGCTGTCACAAGCAAGTCTTCAAATATGCAAAACCAAGTTCCAGCGAGACGCGGAGTGCCAACCCAATGGCCCTGTGAAGTCGTTCCTGCCCCCTAAGTCAAGGCTCTCTGCCTTTAGTGCACACATCAAAGAGTCATATTCTGAATTTCAGAAATGAACAGAGAACAAAAACTAACTCAAAGAATCGCCTGTTTAAACAGAAGTATGACAAACAGATGCTAGTCATGGAGAGATATTATGAGGACATAAGCAGTTATAATGTAAGATATGGAGGGACAGAGGAAATGAACAAATTAATGCACATTACTGCTTGTTCATTCTCCCTAACGATATAAGATCAGTATTTAGAAACATGTTTACTTTTCTTACTTAAATATTAAAGACCTCGTAGAATAAATATTAGGATTTTATAGCTTTTCCATGGCACTCTTTGCTAAAACACATTCACTGTATAAGCTAGTCTACTCCCAAATACTGATAAAATTCACTTTTAGAAGATAAACACTACGGTTCAAAGGTTTGCAGTCAGCAAGATGTTTTTTAAACAAAATTAATACTTCTATTCTGTAATTACACAGTAAATTTAGCGAAAATGACAGTAGAGATATATATAAATGCTGTTCTTTTGAATTTATCAAAGAAATCTGAAAAAAAAAATGTATCGTAGTTTCCACAAAAATATTAAGCAACACAACTGTTGTCAATATTGCTAATAATAAGAGATGTTTCTTAAGCACCAAATCAGCATATCAGAATGATTTCTGAAGGATCATGTGACACTGAAGACTGGAGTAATGACTGCTGAATATTCCGTTTTGCCATCACAGGAATAAATTACATTTTAAAATATATTCAAGTAGAAAACATTTATTTTAAACTGCAATAATATTTCACAATATTACTGTTTTTACTGTATTTTTGATCAAATAAAAGCAGCCTTGGTGACCATAAGAGGCTTCTTTCCAAAACATTAAAAATCTTACCGACCCCAAACTTTTGAATGGTATTGTACACATTATTATTTACAATCTTTCTTGTCTGGAAAAATGAAGCAAAAACATTGATGACTCATCCTGCACTGCACCAATTTTTGTCCAATCAAATGCTCTTGAATGAGAATGTCCCTCCACCAATATTGTGTGCAACCCAGCAGCAAGCAGCAAATGTTTGTTCATTGCTTTGATCCTTTGATATGTCCCACACAAACTACAAAAAACATAAATAAATTAGTGTTAATTAGGCCAGTGATATAATCTCATGTGAGTGATTTTAAACATTAAAAAAAAAAACACTATTGCTACGAGTAACAGTTTTTTTAAACAAAGGAAACCTTACGTGCACATTTAGAGCATGTAC